GCTCGGGACATACGGCTCTGCCTGGCGTCATCTCTATATATTTAATGTCTGGAGGAGGAAAGAGGAGGTCGTTACCGATTCAGTGTTTGAGTCAGGTTCGTTAACTAAGCTCTGTGAGGGACATGCGTCTCTGTTCTTCTTGCTATTAATTTTAGCTCCGGTTTGCATGCCCTGCAGGGCTGCTGGCCCTGCAGAACCCCTGGGCTCTGCAGGGAGACCCCCACGGCCCAACACTGGCCTTCGTTAGGACCCTATGAGGGCTGATTTCTTCACGGACACCAAGTCACGGTGACCCACCCAAGTGCAGGCAGGCTCCCAGGCAAGAGGGGTTACACGCGGTCATGTCTGACTGCACAGACCCCCCTCGCCAGCATTGCACAGCCAGTGCTTGCCGAGACCTGCAGCGAGAGGCGGGGGTTTCCTCCTGCAGCCGCTCTGTTTGTACCTGACTCAAGAGAAAAACATCTGGCTGCTCCCCCCAGGGATGACATCAGGCTCGGAGGGTGCCCACGGCAGCAGGCGGGTGGCCCTGCACACCCTCTTGTCTGACTGCACAGACCCCCCTCGCCAGCATTGCACAGCCAGTGCTTGCCGAGACCTGCAGCGAGAGGCGGGGGTTTCCTCCTGCAGCCGCTCTGTTTGTACCTGACTCAAGAGAAAAACATCTGGCTGCTCCCCCCAGGGATGACATCAGGCTCGGAGGGTGCCCACGGCAGCAGGCGGGTGGCCCTGCACACCCTCTGAGCTGGCTGGGGTGGCCCTGCACACCCTCTGAGCTGGCTGGGCGGAGGAGCACGGGGGACGTCACCTGGCCCCCAGGCACCGCTGGACATCCGCACCATCTGCACCGCGGCTGCAGAGCGGGAGGCAGAGGGAAGCCATGCGGGACAAGGGCACTTACAAGGCTCTAGGTGTCAGCTATGGGACCAGGCGTGCCAGCAGCAAGTGCGCAGCCCGGGGCAGGGCGGCTGCTCTCCCTTCCCTCCTCCCATCCTGCACAAGTCTCTTCAGAGAAATAATTTCCAAGGCAGCTTCTGTGCCTGTGCCCTGCTCTGTGTTTCTTCCTGCTCTTCCATTCATGCTCGGGGCAGCAGGGCATCTCCTAGCCCCTTTGCTTGCCATTATTTATAAGGTAACACATCTGGTGGAGCATCGCTTGCTCCAGTACCTTCAGTGAAACCGCACAGCCAGGGCAAGGGGATGCCTGGTTCCCAGGTGCCTGATGCACGTCAGTCACTGGGTTCCTTGAACATAATTTCTGGCTGAGCTAGAAGGTGCCTTTTAGCAAGAGACACTCAGACTTGATTTAAGGGCTTGCAGCGATGGCGAATTCATCACCTCCCCAGGGAAGCCTGCGGTTAATCACCTCCACTGCTAGAAGCGTGTGCCTCCTTTCTAGTCTGAACATGCCCAGCTTTGTTTTCAGCTCCTGGTGCTTGCCCCACCACGGAGTTTAGGAAAGTTCCCTTTCTTAAAGGTGTTTCTTGGAGAGAGAAAAACCTTTTTGCTGCAGCAATCAGAAACTGCTCCTAGCAGCCCTGAGCTCCCTGGCAGTTGATGTTATGTGCCTCGTTCCTGCCCTGGGCCCCGCCGGTGAGGGGATCTGGCTGGGGCAGAGCCGCAGACTCCAGACTGCCAAGTACTGCAGACCCTGTTTACTGCAAGGAACAACCAGACCTCTGGGACATAAAGCTTGATGAGCAGGAAAAGCATCAGTCTGTACAAAAGTTACTCTCCGAGCGCCTTCTCTGTGCTGATCCCAGCGTGGGATTGGATCGCCACGGCCAGCGGAGAGCCGCCGAGGAGGCGCCGGGGAAGCCAGAAGGGCTGGTCCCCAGTGGGGACGCAGCTGGACCACGCACGGGGAAGGAGCCAGAACCGCAGCCTTCCCCCTCCACACCCTCACTGCCACTGGCAGCCAGCAGCAGCTCCTCCAAAGCCTGTCCTCAGAAAGGCTCCGGAGCCACGTGGTTCTGGTATCAGTGTGCATACCCTTAGAGCAAGCTCTTGGCCGGATGGTTTTTGTCAATGTCTCCCTCAAAAGGGGAAAAGAAATGGGGTTTTTAATTGTCCTTTAAAGAAATAACTGAAAAGCATCTGCACCCTGGGCTAACGAGGCCCTTTGCCTCCTACTTTTCTGCCTCTGCTCCTGCTTATCAGGTGTGGTTAAACCTCAAATATTTGCTCAAGACCTTGGCAAGTTTTTCAGCATCAAGGAGCGGCAAAAGCGCCGCAAACACGGGGCCCAGCTGTCACGCAAGCTGAGAGGCTCTCCTCTTCCCCAGGAACAGCAAGTACCAGAGGGAGTTAGTGACTGTCATGAACGTGTCTCCTATTGCTACAGCATCTGTTACGTTAAAAGCCTCCTCACGGTTTCCACCAGACAAGAACAAGCCCCTCTCGCGGACTCTGGGCACCACCAGTCTCCTGCCAGCCCGCACACCAACTGACCGTGCTCGCAGGGAACTTACACCTTAGGCAGAAAGGAGGGGTGTGGAAATTATTCAGAAAGCACAACGGGGCCCTGTGCGGCCCTTGCCTGCACGGCCAGGGGAGGAAAGGGAGGCAGGACCCCAACGGGAGCGTTTCCACGGGGCCAGCTGGCATGAGATGGGAGCAGCAGTGCATGCACAGGTTGCACGGCTGCAGCGGGAGGAGGTGGGTGAACAGGGATGCTGTGCAGCAGTAGGAAGTTTGCTTAAAAAGTAAGAGCTGTTAAAAGAAAATGAAAGCTGAAGCGAGGCTTTTCCCACTGAATTCAGGGCCAGATTTCCAGATGTTCAGTTCCACACTTGGAGCCAGATTTTCAAAACCACGAGCACGCTACCTGCTGAGCTGCTCGGGACTTCTCGAGTGATGCCTGAAGGAGAGGCATCTGAACGCCTCCAAACACTGCTCTGAGGAGTCAAGAGCTGAACTTGCACTTTGTCATGGTACTTTATCTGCAGGGCCACCCCCTTCCATCCCAGCGGGAAGCAGGGATGCCATCTGCTCCAGAATCTGCGGCGTGCTCGCACCGCTCTGGCCCCTGCGCTCCCTGACTCTGGCTTCGCTGCTTCCCGTTGGAGCATCGGGACCCTCACACCTGCCAGGGCTGCAGCTCAGTGTGCTTGCAGACAGGCACCTCGTCCTCCTCCAACCCCGCGTTCCTCGTGCAGACCTTTGCACAAGGGCTCAGGGAGAACAGGATTTTTTTCATGCCTTTAACATCCTCTCATTTGACGTTCCTCTGGAAGGAGGCCTAGGGACAGATTTTCAAGGTATTTCCATGTCTAAAGGCACAGATAGGCAATCAGGCTTTTCAGAAGCAGTGAGACTGTATCTTTAGGCACCTAAACACATCACAGATCTGTCCCCTGGTGCACCACAACGCTTGCAGCAGCGTGCGACACGCTGTCTGCTTGTGTTACCCCATGCACAGTGTGTTGAGCAGCTAACATACTGCAAAAGAGCCACAGGCGAGAGTGCTTGGATCAGAAGCAGCACACACAGCACAGCTTTGGATTGCAGGGATGACAGAGAAGTGTTGCAAAAGGGTTCACGTAAGGCACCCAGGCATGAGAGCAGAAAGAGGGGGTTGGTATGTGCTGCTGATGTTCTGCCTTGTGTATGCCAGGTATGCTGCTGGAGGAGTGCACAAGCCCTGGAAAAAGAATTTCCCTGGCAAAATGATTGGGAACATTTAAATGGGATGGTTGTGTAACGATCAGTACCTTAGCCCAAGGCTTTGGAAATCTGGCTTCAAATCCATGTGCTTCCACAGGTCAAGTATGACCCTGGGAAAGGCTCCACTGCCCTTTGGTAGAACCGGGGCTTTGCTGCGAGCGTAAGCATGTGCCAGACATCGCATCCAGGGTCAGTGCCTGTCCCTAGTCCTTGACGGTCATAACTTGGATTAGGCACTTTCTGAGAGCGACAAGTCCCATTTCTAATGAGAAATGTTTTCTCCCAACACAGGGAAACAAACATCATTTGGATTAAGGCTGTTCTCCCTGTCTTCTTTTGGATCCTGTTGAGCTAGCTGGACACGAGACATTTCAGAAGTGCTCGGACTGGGGCCACCTAAGCAGTGAGCCAGGCGGAGAGCCTGGATACAAAATCTGTTCTCCTGCTCCTTTATATGAAGCCCTGATGTCGGCAGACAGTGCCCCACACTGATCCCATGGGGATGGGGGGGATGTCACCGATGCCCATTTCCAGCCCTTCACAGGGGCACAGGACCTCATCCTGCCCGCAGCAGAGGGGGCTGGTGCTGGTGTGTGGCCAGCCTCTCTGCCCTGGGCTTGCACCCTGCCTCTTGCAAATGGTTTTCACTAGGTCTGAGCTGTGCTGGCTCCACCGCACGACCAGCACCTTTTGCCTCACCTATTGCCTCCGGATCTTGTTTCTTGGTGGCAGCAGCGTCACCCTGAGAAGCAGGTTGGACCGCATCCTTCACCGGCTTGCATGACAGCGGCTGAAAGGTCGGATCGATTTCTAGGATCAGCTGGTTGAGACTCTCTATTGATATGTCCAAGGTAGGAGACACCAGGTGAGCCTCAGGATCTGTGCCGGTGTCCTCCTCCTCCTCCTTGGGCTGATATGGGGCAGCGGGTCTCTCCGCAGAGGCATCCTGCTGCCCCTTCCCCTGGGCGCGAGCAGCCACGTGCTCAAACACGGGGTGGGCTCCGTACAGCCCTCCGCTGGGAAGCAGGCGTGCGTTGGCGTGCACCATGGCGGGCGGGTCAGCCCAGCCCTCCGTTGAGTAGTAGGCGTACTTCATCGGCAGCGCGGAGCAGCCCGGGTACCCCGCCGGGTGCAAGCTCTTGCTTTCCTCCTGTGAGGAAACACACACGGTCTGTCCAACACGCAACACGTGGTTTTGTATGACCTGTGACATGGTTTGGTTTTCTGATTTGATGTCTTAGAGTCCAAGGGAAACCTCCTCCTCCTCCTCCTCCTCCTCCTCGCCTCCCTTTCTCCACCAGGGACCTCAGACCCCTTCTTCAATCCAGCGTCTCAAGCGGAAGAAGAATCTAAGGAATGCAGAGAGAGGAGCGGTTACACAGGCATGCCCAGGGCAGGAGCAGACTTCAGCGGAAAAGTCTATAAAAATGGGGATTTGGAGTGCAAAGCTGGAATTCGGCTCATAAGAAAACAAGTCATCCTGCATTGCTTTTCCACCCCCCTCCAGCCTCTGCTCCCGGTGCCACACTGCATCTGGGCAAGCGCGAGGATTAATTTGCAACAGCTTTTCAGGATTCAAAGGCCTGAAAACTACATTCTGCTTTACTTGCACAGTGCTTATTTTTTGGGTTAAGAATGAAATGAAGTATCAGTCTAACAACTTTTGCATGGGATCCCGACCCTCGGAAGCCATCCGGAGAGGCAATGGTAGACAGCGAGCCCGGAGCCACGCAGGGTAGGCTTGCAGCAGGCCAGAGAGACGGAGCAGCCTGCCAGAGCAATGTTCTGCGAGTGGGTGTACGTTTAATCTGAGGGTTTATTTTGCTGGTACAATGTGAGCTGAGCCCTGGAAGCCTGTGTATGTGGCTGCTTTCTCAGTCGAGGCACTGCTCTAGGAATCTGATTGCTATTAAATTTTGAATACTCTCTGGCTTCGCTTTAGATAGAAAGTATTTTTGAATTTGCCATTAAAAAAACCCCACAGCAGAAGGTAGGCTTCCCCTGGGGGATTCTGGGCCCCCCAAGGACATGATTTGGAGGTGGGGAAGTGTCCAACTGCATCAGGATCAAGTGGGGTCCCCCCAGCCATTGCTCTCCCTCGTGTTTGTCTGCATGCCGGCACGGTGGGAGCTGCCATTCAGCAAAACTCACGACCACCAAACGCACTGGGGGAACCTCGCTCATTTATCTCAGGATAAGGAAAATAAGCCTGTCCCCTCCATAACCTCTGTGGCAGCCAAGACTCAACGTCTCAGTGCTTGGGGCCATAAAAGCCAAGCACATTCCCCACGCGTGTACTGCACAGGCTGCGTGGGAACGTGCCCGTCCTCTCCGGGCAGCACTGGTGGGGACCACGGGATGTCCAGAGAGTCGGAGCCAAAGGCTCACTGACAGGAGTTAATCCGACAGCTCAGGGCTCCCTCCTCCGTACGGTGTGGATCTGGTGCGTAATACATACAAACAGTGGGCTACACTTAAAACATTTGTCCTTCTCTGCATCAGTCTTGAATGACTGACTTATTTACTCGCCTATCTCGGATTGATTAACTGTGGAGTCACAGGATTAAGAAAGAGACACGTTGCTCTTGGGCAGCCAGTCCCTAACCCCCCGTGGGCGAGGGCAGGAGTGCTGGGCTGGCGCAGTACGTCATGTCTGGTAAGCGGTGACTAATTGCCATGCTGGGTGTTGAGAGCTGTTACGGAGGTGGCTCAAAACAGGCCGGCCTTGCCCTCGATGAATTATATAACCCTGAAGAAGCCTCTTCCCTCGCCAGAGAGACACCAAGAATAGCACAGACTCATGAAGATTAGCGAATTAGAAGCAAAACATTGCTGCTGTCTGCTGCTGCTCACAGTGTATGGCACTCGGCGCGGCTATGGATCATGAGTCACACCAGTTAACGCACTCAGAAGAGCTAGGAGAGGTTTTTAAGGACTGCAGAAGTGAATAAATACTTCAGACCCATTTAGCTTCCTCCCAGCCCAGACCCCACTGTGTCTCCTGAGCCTCTGACAGATTTTATTTACAGGACCGACAGGCTGATCCGTAAGAAAGGCTCAGGAGCAAGGACGTGTCCTGCACCAAGACCAGTGCTGCAGAAAGGAAAGCACCTCTGTTGTGCCTTTAGTTGCAAATTAGACAGGCACATAGCATCTCTGAATTGTAACTAACTGATTAACACCACGGTCGGGAAAGACACGCAGCCCCAGCTGCACCTCCAGGCATTCGGGGCTGTGCTCTGCAAGCCAGGTCTGTCCCAGCCCCGGTGGGAGATGGACAGAGTCGGGAGCGGTTATCCCTACAGAGGGCCGGCTGCGAAGGGATCTGTCAGAAAACGGGTGGGAAGAGCTGGACCTCAGGGTAGCTGCTCCCCAGGCTCGGGGGGAGATGCACAGGCTGCGCGTGGTGGGGTCCCTCCTGCGACTGCAGCAGCGACACAGCCCAGCAGCTGCACAGCCCGCGGTGCCTTCCCAGCCGGCCGTGCCATGGCCAGCACCCGTGCGTTGCTTTTCCTCAGCATTTCTGGACCCAAACCCCAAGGCGCAGAGGATGCAGAAGTGGGCTGGGACCCGCGTTCCCCTTCCCCACCGGCCGAGCCGTGCCTGGGTGCTGCCGGCAGAGCTCGCGTCACCTCTGATCCGGTCACAGCGCGGCTCTGCCGGGCGGCCCGTCGGATCACAGGTAAGCGGTCTGCCCACTTCTGGTTTCCTGCCTTGGAGCACGTATGTGCCATGACGCCGCAGGCACCGCCGTGAGAAGTGCAGCACGGTACAAGGCTTGGAGGGAGCATTTGTTAAATATAAAAAGAAGAGTCATTCCAGGTCAGAAACACAAGCTAGATGGAGTGAAAATTGGATTCTCCCCTGGGGAGAAGAACTGCCTGGCTCCAGTCAGCGTCCGCAAGACAAGGCTGGTTTTAATTTAAGTAGGTACAGAAATAACGTGCAGTATGCATGAACCAGGACTGTCAGGGGGTTCCAGGAGCATGCACGCAACAGCTTCCCTCCTCTCTTGTACTCCTGCCCTGAGTTTTTGATCTTTCTCTTGCCTGATGCTGCCAGAATTAGCCTCCAAACCTCATTTCTCCTCCCTTCCCTTCTCTGGGTTAAAGTGAGAGGTCTCCCAGGCTCCTCACAAGAATTTCAAGCCTCAGCTGCTCTTCTGCTCAGAGGAACAAAGGAGGAAAAGGGCTCGGGCGAAGAAGGTTAATCACAAGGTGGCTGTTAGCCACCAGCGTGGTGCAGCCATGAGAAAGACAAACGCTGCCCATAGGCATCAGGACTTTCCAAGAGCAATCAGGAACAGCAGTGCCCTCCTGCACAGCCCCGGCGAAGGCTGGGCAGTGTCCAGCTGTGCCCCCCGGGCAGGGAAGAGGGGCTGGGCTGGAGCGCAAGGACCACGAGCGCAGGCAGGGAGCCCGTATCGCACAGTGAAGCCAATGGCAGATCTGTGCCGTGCCACGAGGAGCGATGCCCTTCGCTCCGGCAGCAGCAGCAGAGCAGGCTCTGCAACAGAAGCATCGCAGCCCTGGCAGAGGGAACCCAGGCGCTGCAGACATGCCTTACAGGGCTTGGCTGGCTAGCTTAACCGAGGCTGGGAGGATTTACTGGCTGTACAGAAACACTGGGGGAAGGAGCATTGTTGTTTAAGCTAAGACAAGGCTAGCACAAGAAGAAATGGAAATAAGCTGGCCACAAACACATCTAGACTGGAAATTACAGAGTTTCTGCTTCTGGAAACAGACTGTGGAAAGAATTCCCCCTAAGATGAAGGGGACAAATCACAGATTTTGGATGCAGACGGACACACTTATAAAGGCTCTTGGTGCAGCAGCTGCCTGTTGCACCAGGAGACGCAGCTGGGTGAGGCAGGAGATGCAGTTCAGCCCAGTAACCCCAGTCCTCTCCTCCACCTCCAGCCCAGCTTGGCAGGCAGCCTCCTGAGATGAAAAGGAGCTGGGCTTGGGGTGTCGGGACTGGGACGAGAGCTGGAGCACCCATGTGGGGCTGCGGAGAGCCGAGGCAGGAGGTAGGGTGCTGGGTTTGGAGGGCTGCTGGGTGCCTCCTGGGTGGCGGCGGGAGAAGCAGGGTGCCCTTGGGCCAGGGCTGCGCCAGACACACCCCGGCCGTTAGATAACTGCCTGCGCGCCCTTCCCAAACCCGCCAGGCACAGCCCAGCCCAGCCCGGCTGCAACGGCCACGTGGACCGAGCCACACGGATCCTGCACGGCGCAAAGTCCCCGCGTGCAGGGCCCTGTCCTGGCTTCGTCTGCTGGGGCGCAGCAAGCTCGGTGCGGACCCCCAGCCCCACCTCTGCCCGAGCTGGCTCTCCCCCCGGCTTCAGCAGATCAGGCAAGGTAACTGCAATGCCGAAAACGCTGCCTCTCGGCTTCGCCTGGCAGCTGCACACGCAGAGCCCTGGATGTCCCGGCGCAGTTATTTGGAGCTAAGACATACGAGCCGGGACGCAGGCTTGTTCCCTGTCTGCGCAGAGACCCCAAAACAGCAAAGCCAGCTGCCAAGTCTGGGTTGTTTTTCCTTGCAACGTGAGCCCTGGGAGCCTCCGGATGACAAGTCTGTTACACATCCCCTCCCCAGGAAAAGCAGAAGGAACTGCTGGGACACCCAGGATTTACAGAGCTCATTACACCCAGCTTAATCATTGCGAGGGCTGCGGGGTGACTTGCCTAGATTAGCAGGGCGTGCTGATGAGGTTGAGGAAAAAAGTTGCCATGGTTATGCTGTGTTTTGCCTGCAGAGCAGAGCGCGCAGTGGTATCACATAGCAAATATTAATAATATACCTCCAGCTACGGGGGGGCCCGGCACCTGGAGCGCGAGGCAGCTGGTGCCCGAGGAGGGGCAGCCCTCCCAGTGCCCAGGGGAAGAAGGGGTGACTCTCAGACAAAGCCGCCTCCCTCCTTGCTCAAACAAGAATAATTAGGAAGTTCAGCAGCAAAAAGAAGGCTTTATGAAACCCCAGACAGCAACGCTGACTCCCGGTATTTGATCGGCCCCCGGAGCCCCGCGACGGGGCAGCATCTGTGTGACCATTGCCAAAGGAGGACTTTTTGCTGGGGCAGCGAGAAGCACTCCAACGCAACCCGTCAGCGTCCAGCAGCAGAAGCCATCCTCCCCCAGCGATCCCCCTGCGAACAGCCCCAATGCATTGCTTGTTTAGCAACATTTCAGACTTCTGAAAGGGTCTCCAGGGTTTTGTATGAGGAGAGTTATTAGTAATGTCGAAATTGCTACTCAAGTAACTCCCCCTCCCACTGCCATGCTCCCTTTTCCTCTCCCAGGACGGCTCTTTCCCCTTTGGCAAGAGCTTCTCCAGGTATGAGACGAGCAGCAGAGCCTGGTTCCCCGATCCCGGGAGAGGTCCCAGCGCACCAGGAGGGTTTTCCCCCCAGCTCTTTGCAGGGTGAGCCATGGACACAGGAAGCTCAGGGAGGGGGCAGCAAGGAGAGCATCTTTAGAAGAGGGTGTCTGACCAAAAATAGACGAAATTAGCTAATCCTAGGAATGTTGGAGATGAAGTTACAGGAATGTAAGACTTTCTAGACACACTAACAAGCTCCTCAGAGCACCAGCCTGAATTTTTCCCTTCTGAGACCATGCTCACATCTCACCTCCATCCCCTTGTGGGACTGCATTAGGCAGTATTATTACGATGGAAGCTGCAGCATAAGAGAGGCTGTTTCTCTGCATTTCGGAGGTGCCGAGGGAAGGGACAGGACGGGAGCTGCCGCACAGAGGGCTCTGCAGACCTTCAAGCATTTCAGAAGGATGCTGTACGTCTGCACTCCCCCGTGCGTGTTCCCTTGAGTGTACAGCACTGCATCCCAGGGCTTTAAACCTTGTGAAGCAGCAGACGATGCTCCATGCTCTTCTCTTGGGTCCAGGGGACAAACAGCACAAGGTGGGGCTAGATACTCTTCCTCCCCTCCTCAGACCTCCATCTTCCTGCCAATATATCTGCCATGTATCTGCAGTGCTCCTGGCTGGACCCCTGGTTGCACAGCTTCCACGCAATCGTCCTGATGCTCTGCTCTCCTCTTACACAAGGACAGATCCTCAGGACCTTGGTTTTGGTTTCACAGCATCTCTTGATACCGACCTGAGTCATGATGCTTTGACCTTGCTGACTGTCAGTGGCTTAAGAAAGTACAGTGGTACCAAATAACCTTGACTAATGCACAGCTAGCTGATTCTCCTCCCGAGCCCTACACAAACCACTGCCTTCAGCAAGTCACTTCTTGCTACCACGTGGCATTTTTATTGCCTTGAACTCTCAACACTTCACCACACCGCAGCCTCCCACTGAAAAGCAGGGCGCACACACACAGCCTCATTGCTACAGGCTGAATTCACTTCAGGCAGAGTGAATGAAGCATCTCACACCACTTGTACGGATGCACAGTCAACAAACATCACTGGAAATCTTAAATAGGCTTCAAACTCTGGGTGAATAAAAAAGGTAATTGCTAATAAAGTAAAACTCATAGACTACTGAGAAAAGTCCAAAACCTTAGCCTGAGCAATAAGCATAATCCCATGGCATTTTTCACAGAACATCCAGCAGCCTTCCCCACCCAGGATAAACACCACTTGGTCTCTCTGCCAGCCAGCAGTATTGTTCAGGCAGGAAC